TGGTAAAATCAGAGATCTTTTTGCTATCCTTTTTTATGAATCCAGCTCAGAAGCCTTTATATTGTAAGCCAAATATTGAACCTAGTCAACATTGTAATCATTATTGCTTAGGTTACTCTATTATACTGGTACTTTATTTTTAAATAAAAAACTGTGTGGCATAGTTATAGTGCTGCCCTGAACTTATACAAGAACTTTGCTTTGACAAGGTTTAAAGCCTCTAATTTTTTTAAAAATTCATGAAATAATATAGACTCAAACCTGCTGATTAAAATGTTTAGGGGGAGGCAGGGACAAAAACAAATACTGAAAAGACAGGCAAGTATTAATGAGACACGTGGTAAAACTCAAAGCCCTCCCTTGGAAAACTCCCATTGAGTAAATTTGTCTCAGTTAACCAATTGGATTTCTTAGACTTTGGTGGACTATAAAGACCTCTGTAACAGAATGCTTTCTTATTAGAGCTTCAGGATTTTGGATTTCAGTAGGATGCCTTGAGGCTTATAAATGTTTGCCCTTCTTTTTAACAAAATGCCTGGTTTATAGTAACCTGAATCAATGCCTTGTTCCCAATCACTGTGCACAATTACATTTATATTTATCGCTGGAATAAACTAAAAATATATATATTTAACCTATTTGCAGATTGTGTTCTGAGTCCTCACTCCCATGGTCGTTCTTATACCTGCAGTAATAATTCCCTTTGTTAGGTCTTTTTTTACAGTAATTGCTTTATTGTAATTTGTAATTCAACTACATATAGATTTTGTTACACTTTGTCAGAATACTTTGCACCATATTTATTTGAACCAGCTTATTGTTAAAGCCTTTGGCCATGATATTTGGCATTTGTATCAGGAAAGAAAATAAAGCTACTTCCCCCTTTCATTACCAATTTTGAATATATTCTATATAAGTATCAAAATACTAGGATTGGTCCCAAACGGTAAATTGTAGCACAGACAGATGAGCACAGATTTATTACAGTGCCTACCATAAATCTTACTTTTTTTCATTCTTATTGCAATTTGTATCTCAGTCAAAAATGTTTAGTGTAAAGATGTTTGGTTTTTAATCTAAGTAGTGTTTTTTTCTTCTGGCTAACCATTGGAATGCACAATAGAGAAAGAGTGGATATTCCCCCTCGAGGATCATTTTTTTTATACTCTTAAGGCTAGGAACCAGACTTTGTTTTGTCCCAGGGCAAGTCGTGCCTTTGCTTGTCCTGAAACAGGAAAGTCCTGGAATTGGTATGTACGCACATCACCATTCCGATCAGGGTTTAGTGAGCAGCTGAATAAAATGCTGTTTTTATGCATTGATTCAATGATGCAATCCTGGGACAACTTTTCAGAGGTTCTTTGCAGTGTCCTGGGACAGACAGGGACATATGAATGACTGCACTTTGTCCCAGGATAAAATGGTTTCTCCTGGGACAAGTGCAATAGCTGTTTGTAGCCTAAAGGTACCAGGCTGAGTGCTTTTCTAACTTATATTGGTGTAAACCAGAAGTGATTTCACAGAGGTTAGCAAAATGTCACTGGGATTCAAGTAGTGGAATTGAAAGGAGACTTTGATCTAATATATACCCCAGCTCTGGTGTCCATTTCACCAGTTTTAGGAAGGATATAATATCCTATGAGCAGCAATATGTGTAAAGAGCAACAAATCTCTGGCTTGGAGTGACAGAAATAAAACTTTGAAATGGTCTGCGATGACAGAGGATGGAAGCTATTGCCTGCCACCCCGAGAGGTCTCTGACAGCTGACTAACCCCAACCTTCCTTCAGCGAAGATCTCCTGCTAGGGAAAACTTACCAAGCTGTGAGCAGTCACTTGCCCTTTCAACTGCATATATCCTATAAATGTATATAATCTGGACAGGCTAGAGATGAGATGCCTGGATAATAGAAACTGCTGAGAGAGACAAAAGGATAATGCCAAGTAGTTTTATTTGGCTTATGAAGGTATTTTCACTCTCTACTTTTTGTAATTAAAGGCTGAAACAAGGTTTCCTGGGCTATCATATATCCTTTTGCATTGTTTTCTTTTCCTACCTTTTTTGTTTTTAGTAGCACCACAATATCTTGATTGCAGAGGAACACAAACATAGAGTTTCACAAAAAATAACATCTGTGAGGATGTGGTTAGGTGTCTTTTCTATTTCTTGGCAACCAACATAGTTTTAAACTCAGAAAGCTGAATTCCATCTTATAGCCCTCTTTACATCCTCACTGTAGTGCAATGGGAGTGCATGAGAGAATCTGACCATTAATTTAACCAGTATCTCCAATATGTGTCTTGTTCTCTGAGACAAAACAATTGTGATGTGCAACATTGCATCCTTCCAGTCAAGGGAAAGGGCCTGGGTACAAGCAGGTGCATCCTGCAGGTCAATGTCTGGCTGCGCAGGCGGTATCACCAGCAGGGCTTTGACTTCTTTGGCCATGGGATGATGTTCCAAGAAGAAGAATTCTTGGGAAGAGACAGGATCCACCTGACAAAGAGAGAGAAGATGATCTTCACAGATAAGCTCGGTGACCTAGTGAGGAGGGCTTTAAACTAGGTTCGTCAGGAGACCAAAGCCCTGGGGTAAGTGGGGAAGTGGGTGACCTGGAGGAAGAGCAAGCGGGAGGGGGCAAAAAGGGAGATTTCTCATTCTTCCTGAGAAATCAGGGCAATTGTAACCTCAGGTGCCTGTACATGAATGCGTGGAGCCTGGGAAACAATCAGGAAGAATTGGAAGTCCTTGCACAGTCACAGAACTATGACATGATTGAAATAGCAGAAACTTGGTGGGATAGCTTGCATGACTGGAGCACTGTCATGGATGGCTACAAACTGTTCAGGAAGGACAGGCACGGGAGAGAAGAAGATGAGGAGTTGTGCCTTATGTAAAAGAGCCATATGATTGCTCAGAGTTCTAGTATAAAGCTGGAGATAGGCTTGTTGAAAGTCTCTGGGTTAGGGTCAGAGGAGAGAGCAGCATCATTGATGTTGTGGTTGGTGTCTGCTATAGACCACCAACCAGAAGGAAGTGGATGAGGCTTTCTTCAAACAGCTAGTGCAAGTTGCCTGGTCACAGGCCCTGGTTCTCATGAGGAACTTAAATCACCCTGACATCTGCTGAGAGAGCAATACAGCAGTGCACAGGCAATCCAGGAAGTGTTTGGTGAGTGCTGTGAACAACTTCCTAGTGCAAGTGCCATCCAGGGGCCATGCAGCCAACCAGGGGCCATGCTGTTCTTGACCTGCTATTCACAAACAGGGAGGAATTGGCAGGGAATGTAGTAGTGGAAGGCAACTTGGGCAGCAGTGACCACGAGATGATTGAGCTAAAGATACTGAGGGAAGGAAGAATGGAGAGCACCAGAGTAAGGACCCTGGACTTCAGAAAAGCAGACTTTGACTTGCTCAGGGAACTCATGGGCAGGATCCCTGGGGAAACCAGCCTAAGGGAGAGAGGAGTCCAGGAGAGCTGGCTGTACTTTAAAGAAGCCTTACTGAGAGTGCAGGAACAAACCACTCTGATGTGCAGGAAGACTAACAAGTATGGCAGAAGACGAGCTTGGCTTAGCAGGGAACTCTTCAGTAAACTAAATCACAAAAAGGAAGCTTATAAGAAGTGGAAACTTGGACAAACAACTAGGGAGGAGTATAAGAGCATTGCTCAGGCATGCAGGGATGAAGTCAGGAAGGCCAAAGCGCAGTTGGAGTTGCAGCTAACAAGGGATGTGAAGGGGTTCAAAAAGGGTTTCTACAAGTATGCTAGCAACAAGAGGAAGATCAGGGTAAGTATGGGTCCCTTACTAAATGGGAGAGGCAACCTAGTGACAGATGATGAGGAAAAGGCTGAAGTACTGAATGCCTTTTTCACCTCCATCTTCACAGGTAAGATCAGCTCCCAAACTACTGCATCTGGCAGCACAGCTGGAGCCAGGAGGAGGTTGTGTTGATTTTTATGTCTGGCAGTGCCCTTGCTTGCACATCCCAGCCAACAGGGCCTCATAAATCTCCATGGCCCTCTGGGGGGATGTGAAGATCCAGAGGCAGTTCTTGTGTGGCGGGTGCTCGAACATCCAGATTTACGAGGACCAGTTGGTTGGGATGCGCAAGCAAGGGCACTGCCAGGCATAAAAATCAAGACCTTGCAGGCA